TGTAGTCTGGCAGAAGTTTACCGGCGTGTCAGAGGACTTTGCTGCCTCCATTACCAGGGTAATGAATTTTTATTCATCGTCCTGATGACGGAGGCATCAAGGACCTGTGAAACGCTGGCAAATATCTACCAGACTACGTGGCGATACAAACCAAACGACAGCTATGTTCGTACTTACCGCCCATGAGAACCTCAAATACCGAAATATGTGTCTGTTTTAACATAAAGTTTTTTATGGTTCACAGCTCACATACATCTAGGCCAATTTCTGTTAACTCTGCTTTTCTACCGTACTATAGCCTAAGAAGCAGCCCCTAGTCCGAACCTCGACAGGTACCGTATTAATTCAGAGCACAAGTGTGCCTGATCTTGGACCCCACACACTTTTTCGGCGAAGTTCTCGAAGAGAGGATGCAGCGAAAACTCGAAATTAAGACCAACAGACATCTTAACAAAAATAGAAGTGCCACAAAATATAACAAGCCTGTATAAGAAGACTCGAGGTTTTCATGGGGACGCTTCTCGGGCGATAAGCCGCGTGGAAATGGAATCGTACTGCTCATTGGGTTTTAATAGAACCAACAACTACCGGGCACAGATAAGCGACATGATATTAAGTACGCGTTTGTCTCGCTACGTGCCGTAAAGGCGCTTGGGGGGGGGGGAGGTATAGCTCCTCTCTTCCTTCTGGGTGGGCCCCAGAGCCGGTCTGGACGCAGAGGCTAGAGGAAAAATCCTCTGCCCCCGTCGGGGATCGAACCCCGGCTATCCAGCCCGTAGCTAGTCACTATACTGACTGAGCTATCCCGGCTCATATGATGTTAATAATGAAGTCTAAGAAACCGTCAGCTTTACGGTGTGCCGATAGAGGTTAACTTTTTTGCTTACGAGAGAGGTCGGGGTTTCAAATCTCGGCCCAGTTGTCGACTATCCTTTTTGCTATTACCATTTAATTCAGAACTATTTAGTTTCCCGTCTGTTGCAAAAGAAGACGTATAGCCCGCAAATCTATGGTTTCACCCGTTGTCTTCTATGGGTGTGAAATTTGGTCTCTTGAAGGAATGGAAGAACATGATAGGGAGCTAGATTTAAAACGAAAGACGTAAGCAAAAGTGCATCGTAACTAGTGTTCTTCAGTAATTATTAGGGAGGCTGAGAGCCGCGGTGACCGCTTGGAGAAGGTGGCAGGATAATATTTAAATAGATCGTGGGAAGATGTTGGGTGGGGTGAATAAATTTGGCAGAGGATAAAGAAAAGGTGCGGACACGTGTGGGATGTAAAAGCCTTCGGGTTCCGTAAATGGTGGAGAACTCTTTTAGTAGTTGCGTGAATGTTAACGCACAGAGAAGACTTCTCCATGGAGCTACTTTAGTTGCTACATACGTAGGCAGGGAGGGCGTGAATCTACTAGATAACGCCTCCGGGCAAACGTTGATATGCAAAGTATGTCACTCTCACTCCCTTCCATAATTTTTTATTCGTGAAATATTACGTAAGACGTTAATTTTGAAAATCGTAGTTAAATGAGCCACGGATCTATGGATTTAAGAGAGCGCCAAGATATATTTACCGTAACTGCATAGTTTCTATCCTAATAGCATGATCGTGTTTGAAATGCCTTTCAGAATGGAGTAATAAATATAAAATGTAAAATGGGACATAACAGAGTATATGCAATATACACATTACTGTTTTCATATTACAGGAAAGCTCAAGCAGTTTTAGTGCAGTCCGCTGCTACCAGGGACGCTTAAATCGCATCCCTAGAAAAATGGCCTCAGAGCACAGAGAATATGTGCTTTGGTGTCACGAATCATGCAATACCAAGTTTTCAGTCTATTTAAGGGTGGTGTGACCTATTCTGAGGAGCCGATTAGTGATTCCTACAGATTAAAGGCGTTGCAGAGAGTGATAAAGAGTGCCGTCTCCAGTTTTTCCACAGTGTTGCAAATAATGACAGAGAAGAAACCTTAACAGACTTCCGGTGTTCGGTTTTCTGTGATACGGCGACATTGCTCCGGCTTTGATGCTTCAGCCACCACAATGTGCTAATATGGGGACGTAAAAACCCACATTCATCCTTTTAAATTATTCGAGGTTCTCGTAAACCGAACGTTTCGTGTGCTTTGTCCTGACAATTATATTACTCGTTTTCTTAACCGAAGACTGACCTGGGCATGAAGCAAGAATAGCCTTTTCCCTAGTTTAAGATTTTTACAAAGTTTATTTATCCATCAACATAACACTCCAACTCATTACAACACGAAATTTGAAATTTTCTTAATGAGACCGTTCCTTGGCAATGGATGGGACAGAAATTTTGAATTACTTTTCTCGATAAATTCCATTTTTACCCCGCCACTCCCAATTGATTTTTATAGAATTTTATAACAGGTCCAATGAGACAGCACCCGTGACTGGCAACATCAGAGGTGCTCCAGCACAGGAACAAAGCTGCTATGGAAAAGTTTTACACCCTAAAATGTGTATTAAGAAATGGACACTTGACAATTATCTCACAGTCTGACACAAACAATTTATGAATCATAACGTATGTTTTGTCAAGGAAAATAGAGTTTTACCTACGGTGAAGCCGAATGCCTGAACAAAGATCCACGTTGTTTCAAGCTCATATACGTACTACTGCACCAGACTGTACTTATGAAAGCGAACAACTCACTTAGTACTCAAGGCCGGCACCTTGTTGTGCAAGCGAGCACTCCTCCACAGAGACAGCAGAGTTAGGCGAATCCATGCAGCAAAGCGAGTCTAGTGTCTGACCAGGCCGATGGCATCTCTACTACACGCGTCCGATGCGCTGAGACGTACTTTTTCTTGTCGCCGCTATGAAAGACGAGTGAAAATAGATACAGTTGCGAAATTTATGTGTTTTGTAGCCGTCTTTTCGTTTCCAATAACAGTTAGCGAGAGTAAACAGGTGAGTGGCTTATACAACGCAAGAAAGTTAACGATAGAACGTACTTTGGAATAGGTTTATCTTTTACTCATTCATTCGATGGTTTCGTCGTATCCGTAGGCCTGCACGTACACAAATATTAAAAATGCCACATTCTATGAACGGTTTCACAGAACTGGAACTTAAATCTGACACTTCTTAATAAATGTGTTTACATTGTTTGTCAAAATGTTAGTGATCTTC